TTCTCTTCACTTTTGTGTGTCTAGGCGTATTGAAAAAATTGATGCTTATATATAGATCTTAATATATATTCAAAATACATAGTTTTAAATTTTCTCACTCGCGTCACTTACCATAAAAGAACTATGATGCTTAAAAATCGATCTTTAAATTTAGATCATATATGAGTTAAGTTGTTTAATTTTCTTGTTATTTTTTTAAAATCAATTTCACATATTAGTCACTAAACATTTTTTTTCTTTCAAAATTATTTCTAGAATAAGTATTTTAAAAAACATAGTTTGGAGATTTTTTTATTTATCATTTTCTTATATTTATATCTTGTTTAATCTCTCTGAACATCTTGAAAACATCATGAATTAAAATATATCTTCATAAAAAATAACATATAAGTCAAACTTTAAAGAACTAATTCATATTTTTATAAATGATTTTAAAATAAAATGAATTACACATTTAATTTTGCTAAGCATAAATCAACCAGTACAAGGTTTTACTCATCAAAAAAGCCATGATAACATTGTTGAAGTTTAACTGATAATTTGAAGTCGATCTGTGTGTGTTGTTGTTTTAAATATATAAAAGAATTTTTTTTTTCACTATAGTAGTCTTGTATAATTTGATTGAGATTGTCTCCATTAGTTTGTACCCAAAAAAATGTTATCTTTAGATAAAAAAAAAAGAGCATAAATATGATTTTAATTCTCGCTAATAAATAGGTTTTTTTATATAAAATAAATAGGTTTTGATTTTAGTTTGTAAATTTTTTATCTTTATTTTTTATTTTTCTAAAATTTAAAACTATTATTTTTACTATCTATTATTAATTTATTATATAATTATTTTTAACTACTTTATTTATTTATTAAAAAGTCAAGTAATAATCTTAGGTGATGTCTCCCAATTGTTAGTGATATAATGATGATGTGTAAGTGTAACACTTCTAAATTCTTTTATAAATCCTTAAAATGAATGTTGTGTATCTTAAAATCATTATTAAGGATTAAAAATAGTAATTTTTTATTTTAGAAGGATGGAATTAAATAAAAAATATTTTATTGAGACTAAAATAAAAATTTATTTATTTTATAAAAGTTAGTTTTTTTTTCAAGAATTAAAAACTGTAAACAATGTTCATAAATTTAAAAAATGAAAAATAAAAAAAAATAATTTATAAGATCTAAAATAAAAATTCACATATTTTATTGAAATCGAAAACATATTTAAATTTATAAAAAAAATAATAAAATGAAGAATTATCTTACATATTTTGATTAAAATTTAAGGACTTAAATATGTGAAATTATCCAAATGCGCCAAAAAAAAAAATTAACTCTTGGATAATATCCGTGATTTGATTATTATGGATAAAAAAATTTGAATGCACACATTCAATGGTTAATATCAATTTCTTCATTTCGATTCGAGAGTTATTATGTGTTTCATCTCAATTTAATCATAGATTATTATGACAATTTTGTTTACTTATACTATACTTTAAAAGACATATATAAAATATTTTCTAATAAAATATAACCTCCGAATATATTTTATTAAAAGTCTAGATCTAATAATATATGTCAAATTATTTAAATTAAAAAAATAAAAAAAATTAAGAAATACAATCAATGCTTGTAGATCTCGATATTATAATAAAATGGTAAAAATTTATGAAATCTTATCGTTGCAAGAGCTCGTTATTATTCGAGTTTTTAATTGGTAAGGCTGATATGTTGTCTCAATAAAATAAAATAAAATAGTATATATTCTTTTTAAATGCTTCCTAGTTCCTATATCTTGATTTTATTTGAATTGCGTATTATTTTAAATTTTCAGATCGCACATATATAGGGGCAAAATATAAAATAATATCCTGAAATCTAGGTCATGTTTGATTTTGTCTCTTAAAAAGGTGTAGTTACATTCTTAAAACGTTTTTAAAATATAACTATAGTTGTTCTTTTAATTTTTAATTGAAAATGAACATAATTCACCACCTAATTAGTACATAATCATTGTATTCATACTAATGGATGAGTTATTCCATACATCTTAAATTTAAAAAAAAAAAAAAAACTATACATCTGAAAAATGATAAGATCAGTAAGAATTGTCTTTTTAAATATTGTTGACTAAATTATTTAGGTTAAATAATAGTTTTTGGTCTTTATTTTATTTTATTTATATTTATTTCAGTATTTTATTTATTAAAATGTTTATTTGATTTTTTAAATTTTTATATTTAGATTGATTCGAGTCTTTTTGAGATAATGATCGTTTTCAATTTTATGTATAATAATAATATTGAATAAATTGTTGATCGATTCAATAAAATAAAAATTATAACATTACAATTAGGGATGGCAACGAGGCGGGTCGGGTACGAGTTTCATGACGTCCTCGTCCTCGCGAGTTAAATCCATCCTCGTCCCCGTTTTCATACCCGTCGGGTATAGATTTTCATCCCCATCCCCGTTCCCGTCGGGTATCGGGTATACATGTACTCGTACCCGTACCCGTCAATTTTTTTATTTTTTATTTTTTGTAAAAAAAATAATATTTTTAAGTTATTTTTTTATTATATTATAATTATAATTAGGTTATTTTTTTATCTTATATTGTAATAAATAATCACACATAAAAAAATATTAATTTTTTTTAATATAATTAAATTAAAAATGAGTATTAAATTAAAAATGAAAACGAGGACGGGTACGGGGCGGGTAAGTACATACCCGTACCCGTACCCGTACCCCGATTTAATATATCGGGTTTTACCCATACCCGTACCCGTACCCGGTCAAATCGGGTATTCCCCGTCAAAGTCGGGACGGGTTCGGGTATTACCCGCGGGTATGGGTATGTTTGCCATCCCTAATTACAATTCACTTGTATGAAAATTATGAAATTTAATTGATGTTTAAATCTAAAACGATTTTGAATCTAAAATAATTATACACATAGTAAAAAATATATCTTGCAAGCAACTAGAAAATAGTGTAAGTTTGTTTTTGAATTTTTTTTATTTCTTTTTGAACTTATTTTTATGTAATTTTCACCATGTTTATAATATTTTTTATTTAAACTTTAGTTGCATTCAATAATTTTATGCAAGTGAATTTTATGAGACAAATTTTAAATTTTGAATTAAAAAAAAATTCAAAATCTTGTCTTAAAATTAAAAGTAACTATTGTTTCAATAAGATTAAATTGACCCAAATTTTAGAATTAAAAAACCAAAATAAACATTTAAAAAAAAATAAAGAATCAAAAATATAATTTAACTAACTAATTATAATTCAAACTTTAGAATTAAAAAACCAAAATAAACATTTTAAAAAAAATAAAGAATCAAAAATATAATTTAAATAAAAAATTGATGGTAAAGATTTTCACGTAAGAGGATCTAAACGAAAACTCATACGAAAATATCATTCCCATGGATTTTGTCATGTTTTATAAAAAAGAAAAGAAAAGAGCTTAGTAGGCTGAAAAAGTAGGTGAGATTTTATTATCAATATTGAATAATGAAGGCAAAGCATGAGTAGGTCATAATAATGATACGACCATTCTCATCCAACCATTCAATATAGGTGCAATAATAACAAGGAACAAATATTTCCAACAAAAAGATATTAACAAAAAAATTTGAAACACACTCATACACCGTTTTAAATATACTGTTTATAGATCTTATCTTATTTAATAATTCTCTTTCATGATTTTATAACCTTAAATAAATTTTAATCAATAGAGGAGATTATATCACTGTATAAAAGTGACAAGATGAATTCAACTCAATAAATAAATCAACATAATCAATTCAAATAGATTAAGTTTGATTGTATTTATTAATCTTTTGACTCGCATAATTTAACTCATCAATCAAATAAATTAAAAACAAATTAGGTTGAATTCACTGTTAAATTAGTTCATTAGATTGATCTATATTTTTTTTTCTTAATTTTTACCTATTGACATTGCCTTAAGTTATTTTACTTATAATTCATTTATTTTTTCAAATTTATTTGTTACTATGTTATGTATTTATTTTATTATTGTGATGAAAATATTCACATGCCTCTGTTACTTTGTCTTAAATTTAGATTGGGCTAACTTAATTTCCCATATTAACTTATTTAGAGAGGATTATATAAATCTTTTAAAGTTTTATTTTGATTATAATTATAAATGATGTGAGACATCAAGCACTTCTCTTATGTTTAAGGTGATATCTAAACTCTTATGTTTAAGATGATATCTAAACTTGTTTGATTGGAAAGATAGAAATAGATACTATTAAAGATACTAAGACACTTCCTATGTCTCATTATAAATACAATTTAATTTTTTATATAAATTAAGAAAATCTAATAAACTAAAAAAGATAACAATTTAAAAAAAATTAACATCATTATAATTTTTTTTAATGAAAACGATACAACATTAAAAAATATTATTTATTATAGATATAATACAAAAGAAAATGGTACTTAATAGTTAATACTAGCCTCTCCATCCCAAATATTTAGTCCTTTTAGCCACTTTCTTTTGTGTCAAAATAATTAACATTTTAGAGTATATTTATTTTTTAAATAATACCCCCATTTAATAGACATTTTATCCATCAGCTATTCACTTAATTTTACAAAAATAAAATAACAGAATTAAAATAATAAGATATTAAATAGAACTTTTTAAGTTTAAATTTACATCTATTAAACATTTTTTAATTCATGCACATTAAGACTAAAGAAGATTTTAATTAAAGGGGGAAAAAGTTTGTACACAACCTAAAATTATCTCATCTAATTTTTTTTTCTTAAACCGAACATACTTTTTAGCTTCTATAAACTTTGAAGAGAAAAGTGTTAGCAACTTGCTTGTTAAAATTTATTAAAAACTACAACATCGCAAATGAAAACTCATTAAATAAAAAATGAGATCCATAAAAATTAGTAATTTTTAATAAATTTCAACTATTAGTAAAAGCTTCAAAATATTGGATTAGAATTTGTGTTGCTATCATTTCTCATCTTTGAAATACCTTGTATTGTCAGAAAATACCCTACATTGCTTGCCTCAGAACATTGAACATCTTATCATCTCTGTAATTCAGATGTACATGGTATATTGGTATAAAATAAAAAATTATCTTGAAAATAGAACTTGTAAGCAAATAGTTACGTTAACTAAGCCAACTAAAACCTGAACAGCAAGTTGAATGGTCACCAATAGCAGTTAACAATTTGAGGGCAAAATCACGCAAACCAATGTTAAACTTAGTCCTCCTTTCCCCTATGAATATCAACTAGATACCTATTTAGATGCTGGCCAAATGATTTGGTAGAGAATGACTCAACAACATGCCTCCTAGCTTCTCTGCCCATTTTTTCTGCTCCTTGAAGATCAGTTATGAGCTTAGCCATTGCTAAAGAAAACTCTTGTGGTGTAGGATCACAAAGGAAACCTGTTACACCATTCTTAATGGACTCCACGGGACCACCACTATTGCATGCAATAACAGGTTTATAAGCAGCCATTGCCTCCAAAGGAACAATGCCAAAGTGCTCATCCTGCATCAAAGATCTTTATGTAAAACTCTTTTTCTTCATTCAATTTCAACCAATTGCAAAGAATCATAATTTGCATGGTTTCATATACCTTCGGTGTGTAAAGGACACACAGGCATTCTGAAAGAAGTGCATTTCTTTCAGCTGTAGGGCAAGATGTGATAAATCTTATTTTATCAGAGACTCCTTCCTTTTCAGCTAAATCTTTAAGCTCTTCTAAGTACTCCACATTCTCCTTCAACCGTTTGTCAAAGCCACCTGGAACAATATATGAAATCAGGGTTTTTACTCAAATTGCATGTACACAAATGCTTCAGAATGAAATGAATTTGTCATGTGTGGGTCGTTCAAATTTCAAACTTAAGACCCAGAAGTTATACCAAGAAAATACATTTATAAAGTGAAGCAAAATGCCATAACAAGGCCTTCAAATATAACTATGGAGGAAATCAATAAATTCCTTTCTCTCAACCTTTTCCAAGTCTAACCAAATTTTACACTATTAATTTTTATACTAATGAATCAACAGGTACCATAAACTTACAATAGTCATGATAAATACTGAAACATCCAAAGATTTTTAATAAATTTTTTTTTATCACTTTAAATACAAGGAAGACGTTCATGTATATTGATCCCACAAACTTGCACAATAGAGTGCTTGGTTCCTTGCAATTTATGGCCAATTTTTATCAGCAAATACTAATGAATCACATCCAGACAGCTTAGTGAAAAGTGTTTTAATCATATCATTAACAAGTATTAAATGCCTTTCAATAATATTTTATCATTGTTTTCTGATCAAAATTTGAATGAACACATTTCATTGCCAGATAAATAAATGTGTGCTATTGTAAGTTACAGACTGGTCCCATGTTATATCGAATAATAACATCAACATTTTCTCTGAAATATTATGTTATTAACTATCCTAGAGAAAAGCTGATGACTTGTAGTGATAACCAAACCAAATGAGCATATTATCACATGACCCAAATTGCCTTCTTTAAAGCAATCTGAAGATCTAATTCTTGAACAAATAAAATTTGTAGCCTTGTCATAACCATGCATTCCACTTCTCATTTGATGGAATTAAACTTAAAAGTTAAATAAATGAACTTTCTGTCATCGTATTATATATACTCATTTTTAGTTAAGTAATTATAATAGAAAATAAACTTAATGCACTTTCCATGACAATTATGAAATGGTTCAACATGAAACACTGACAAATCCCAGATAATGCACCTGTTTGACAAATGATTGCACCACAAAGTCACACTAATTTACATACAAACAGCAAGATTGAGCAGATTCTGCATAACAAAATCCCTTGAAAGGATAGAAAGAGAATAGAAGAGTTTTGAAACTTAATTACAAACCAAACAAAGCTTTCATTTAAAATAATATTTTATATTTTGAAAAAAGAAAAAGAAAAAGGACACCACTGTACCAAACTCTGGTATGAGGAACAAACATCAGGAATTCAGGACAGATACTCCTGTCCCATGGCAATTAGTAATGCACATAACATAACCATAATATTTAGCATCAAAAACACAAAGCTATAAGCAAAACATGCTCACCTGCAATAGTCAAAGAAGCATTAGTAATATCCTTGTGCTTCAGAACTCCTTCAGTTGAGTGAAGCATGGCAAAAGCTGAAATTGCTAATTGTATGTTCTTTTTCCTTTCAAAGCGATTGATGGAAAGAAAATTCAGCCTACAGCAGAGGAAACACTACAAATTAAGACTATGATTCTTTAAATAAAAAATATAAAATTAGATACAAAAATAAGCTACATGCATAATCTTGTAAAGTGTCAACCATATATCTACAAACATGTCATTTACTTCAGGGAACTGGGTTCGTTGAACTGATCCACATTAACTGCTGGATATAGAACAGCTGGTCGAATTCCTTTAGCGTCTAGATGCTTAAAAGTATTTGCAAAAGTAGATGCAGTGAAGTTGCTGTTAACAAGTATCAAATCAGCCATTCCTGCAATTTAGCAAAGTTTAATAAGATGCATGATTCAGCATACTCGATAGAAACAGCATTCAGAGTAAAAAAACAATTAAAGCAAGGATAAAAAGTCAAACCAGTTGTTATTTCTTCCGCATAATCTATCGGTTTTCTATACATCCTCCTAATGAAAGTTGAATGTTGAGCCAGCAACAAGTCTGGAAAATGACAGTAGAATACAACCTACCAAAGAAAATCAAACAACTAAGAATTAAAGACATCAAAACTTAAATTCACATATGATTTCCTTTCCCTTCTCTATGGCTACCTTAGACGACCTTTTAAGTTTCAAGATGGGAATAACTACAGAGACTTGATCTGCCAGGATAACATCAAATGAATGCCACATGAAAAGTACACAGAAAGCAACAAATAGGCACCGAAGGTATGCACACAATGCATGAAGACGGTAGAATATATGCCGGGGAAGAAAGGAACCATACACAGTAACCGGAAAGGTACCTGAAAAAATCACAAGTCAAAACTATGTCTTAATGGCAATTCTGTTTATTTATAAAGAACAGAAATGTAATGTGCAACATAAATACATATTATATATGGGAGAAAGATCAATTGACACCAGGTGTCAAACTTTTGTATTTACACCACAAAATTCATCAATACATCTGTTAAATTATTTGATACTATCTTTCTCATAATGTATTACAAATTTCACATAAATTGAACATTTGTTTGTAGATTATCCAGCCATGAAGATTTAATTATATTTTAAGTTGTATGATGAAGTAGCAATTAAATTTTTAATCTGCATGAAACATTATAAACTTGATCTAGTTCATAATTTTTCAATTCACCAGCTGAATTGAGTAATTTCGTGCTGTATAGAAAGTTATCAGGTGTAAGCAAAAGTTTGACTCCTCAAGCCAATTGATCCAATCCCGATATATAGAGAAAGAGATTCACCAGCAACAGTCTCCTCAAAGCATCTATTTTTGTCATGATGTGCAGTAAAAACATGAACTTTATGGCCATGTGATGCAAGTTCAACAGCAGCATCCACAATTAACCTCTCAGCTCCACCTACAAAAACAATCACAAGGTCATGGGAAGAACTACATAGCAAAACATTGCTTCACCAAACCAAAAAAGTTTAAAAAACATATATCAAATTAAAGGAAATCCCAGAAAATTGTTGGTTTTTATTTGAATAGAATGGAAAGCTATGGGGAAATTGGTTACTCTACCTATGCCAAGATCTGGGTGAATTATTGCGATGTTCAATTTTGAACTTGTTTCCTTCGCCATGTTGAGGGTAAAGATCGGAACTTTGAGGTGGAAACAGAAGACCCAGAAATCGTTCGCCGGCGGCTACGGCGTAGTAGCGGTGGCGTAATCTGAAGGGCGAAGGGGTTCTTGCCCTGGTTACGAACGGGGGAAACGTCGTCGTTTGGACACGCCTAGTGGAATGCGTTGAAGAGTGACGTGTCTGTATAATGGAAATTGGTCAAATGGGAAAAAAGGGTGAATACTGAATATGGTGTGATGGAAATTTTGGGTGTAGAAGATATGTTGACCATTAATTATAGTTGAAAAAAAAATTGGCTGGGTAAAAACTGAAAAATGAAATAGAATGAAATCAAGTTTTAAAATGAAATGAATTTAATTAAAATGTATCGATAGTATAATTTTGTATACTAAGATGCTTGCATGCTAAAAATTTTTTAGGTTAAATACCTCTTTTAGTACCTTATAATGTTTTTTTTTTCAATTTAGTCTTACTTTAATTTTTAGTCTCAATTTGGTCCTCAATAATTTAAATCGTTCCAATTTGGGACTTCCGTCTAAATGATTTAAACGGAGTTAACTGGTGGTCACGTGAATGTCAGGTGGATGCCACGTAGATGCCACATAGGTGCCACGTAGGTGGATCCAAAAATACTTGAATACACCTGTAACCAGAACGGCCCGTTCTGAAACCAGAACGGCTCGTTCTAGTTACATTATTGGTGTGTAAAATTTGCACCTGGAACGGGCCGTTCCAGGTCCAAAATTAACACATCAACAGTATAACCAGAACGGGCCGTTCTAGTTTCAAAACGAGCCGTTCTGGTCCAGAATTTCGTGCACAAAAAAACCAAAATACAAAACATTTTTTTTATAGGAAAAATACAAAGCATTTCAAACACTAGATTTAGTAATATTGTTAATGAGGATTAATAACTTCAATCGCTAAACATTTGGGCTATACAGTATATTATTAAGGATGATGCAGTGTATCACTAAGGACAATGGTAACAAGTTTTATTTCATTGTTAGTCAAACTGGAGTGAACCACTTACTACCAAATTGACACTATACAGTCAAGGATAAAACGAAACAGTGTTTTTCCTTAAAGTCATTGACGATGTACCCAACAATAACAACCTGTTCTTGAGGAGGTACCCCTAAACCCTGAATTTTATTTTCAATTTTTGAAATACATTGCGGCATTTTAGTCAAGATTTTGAACTAGATAAATTCAAATCAAAGAAATATTTTGGAAGGTCTTATCTTATTTGATTTTTTTTTAGTTTTATTCATAAAAGAATATTAATTTATTGTATTTTATATTTATTATATATTTATTAATATAGATATAATAAAAATAATAATAAAAAGCATGGCGTTCTGGAACGGGCCGTTCTAAATTCATAACGGCCCGTTCTAAAACCAGAACGCCCCGTTCTAAAATCAGAACGGCCCGATCTGGTTTCAGAACAGACATTCTGGTTTCAGAACGGGCCGTTCTGGTTTCAGGTTTTTTCAAAAATTTTGGCGTCCACGTGCGCATCCACGTGGCATCCACGTAGATGTCACGTGGCCAACAGTTAACTTCGTCTAAATCATTTAGACGGAAGTCCCAAATTGCACTAATTTAAGTTATTGGGGACCAAATTGAGACCAAAAATTAAAGTGGGACTAAATTGAAACAAAAAAACATTGTAAGGGACCAAAAGACGTATTTAACCAAATTTTTATCTTTATTATTATAATATTTTAAAAGTTATATTCAAAATATTTTTTGTATGTTTATAATTTGTACACTAATATTAAACATTATTAAATTATGATGGAGCCAAGTAGGTGAGATGGAGTATTGTATCTTCATTGCTTGAATTCGCAAACGATCTTATCCTTGAGACCTTGATTCCGAAGAAAGTAAGTGAAGAAGACTAGATTTGGTGATTCAAATCTTAGAAAGAAGTGTTCAAGCTCGGAGAGCAAGATAATTGCCTACGGATGGCTTTAGAAGGAGTAGAATCCCTAAAGCTAAGTTAAGCACTTTGGTGACTATAGGAGAGAAAATGGTTGAATGAATATTTCAGATTTCTCTATGATCAAAAGTGAATACATGAATGAAGGAAAAAAACTTATATAGGCACGGAAATGGAGCAAGTTGGCGCCAAGGTTCAAAGCACCACATTTGGAGCCTAGATTTGAATTCAAATTTTTAGCCCACATGTGCTTGGCCGTGAATCTTGGTGCTCCCATGCATCTAAGTTTAATTTGGCAAGTATTTAAGGTTGATTTGAGTGTGCACATGTTCAGCTACTAATGGTGAAAAACATGTGACTCAAATGCAACTTAAATGACTTTCAAATTAAACTTAGTTTTGTCTAATTAGCCTATTTAAATATTCCTTTCATGTTTCTATTCTAATGATCTAAATATAATGGCCAACCAAATACAATCAAAAGGAAAAGTTACAAGGATTAAAATGAGTCTCATATTGGGTACCAAAAGTTCAAAGGCCTATGAAGCCCAAAACTAGGCCTATTAAGCCTAAGACACAAAACTCCTATACTAGAGGTCCAAAATACAAGACTAAAATTATTAAATCTTACACTACTCAAGAACACAATAAAGGTGGTGGTCAATGCAAAGCTCATGTGAAGAGTACCCTAGGCCCACCAAACCCATTGAACCTACCAAGCTCTAAAGTAATCAAATATTTTAGTAATTTCCTTGTCATAGTTCTAGTGGTTGGACCATTGGTCCATGCTCTTCCATAAAATTAGATTTAACTTTTCTTTTTCATTTGATTCTAATTTGCTATAATTTTTTTTCCTTTTTTCCTTTATTTAAATTTTAAAGGTACGGGAGGAAATATTTTTTTTTTCATTTCATTATAAAATATATAAATATAAATAATAGTGCAATGATTATTTTATAAAGTATATTAGTCTTTTCAAGAATGAACTAAAATTTAAACAATCTTATAATCAATTTCAATTTTTCTCGTAAAAAATTTCATTTTCATTTTTTTAAGGTCTTAAATTTAATAACAATTGCTGAAAATTAGAAGTAAATGGTGCATATTAAAAGATTTATTATTCATACTAAAATAAGTCAATGTAGCTCGGCTAGTTGAGTGATGTGCGGGTTGTTATCGGCCGATTTCTTTAGTTCGTCCACTGACTCTGTAACTTTAGCATTCGCAGCCAAGGCCTCCTTCACTGTTTCCTCGGCCTCCTTTAACCGGGTCTGAAGTCGCTCAGTCGAGACCGCCGACCTCATCATCACGTGCTTGGCCACCAGCAAAGTCCGCACGTCGAGCTCACAGAAGAGCTTGTACTCGGCCTCCATAGACATACCCTCCAAATACTGGAGCCCCCCTCCGGTAGCGAGGTCCGGGCTAACCAAGTTCTCGGACTGGACGGCCGGGGCCAAAAAATTTGACCCTGCAACAACGGCCGGGATAGCAAACCCCCCACATCCGGACTGTTCCAGCGTTATTTGTTTTTGGCGTTTGGAGGAGGTGCCCGGCTG